CAGGGAGAGACTTCCAATGTGATTTTTTGGTCTTTCCTCATCTGTGAAAGTGTGTTTGGTGCACTTTAAGAACAGACACCCCAGGTTTTGTGCATGGGAAGGCTCCAGAGAGCTCAGCTGTGCTGCTCTGGAGCCACTGGTGCTGCTAGCTAGAAGATCCTTACGCTGCAGAATTTTAATTAGAGTTAGTTGGTCGCCTGAGTAAATCATAATGTGATGCAGGCTGGCAAGATCATCTAACAGTCTTCAATCCCTGTGTTTACTTCAGGAATAGGGGAAGATCTCAGGCTGTGGCATAAGACAGGCTCAGAACAAAGCAGACTGATTGTAGGTTTGCAGCCTCTCTCAAAAGCAGTCAGCAGAGACCATGAAAATATCTGTCTCTCTGTGCAAGACCTCCCCTTTTTCTCAGTAAAATTGTGTGCAGAGTTAATGTGCATCTAGGCTTTAATGCAGCAGCAGATCTTCTAAGGGCTGGAGTCTGCTCTTGAGCTCTTTCAAATAAAAAAGCAGTCGAGAACAGGCTACAAAAAGATGAAAATGAGACTCCTGGAGTTTCTGCCATGGAGCATCCCTCACTTCTGTATGTCGGAGTGGCACTTTTGTGGGACAGGACTCAGGTGAGGGAAACATGTGCCATTGGTTTGCCCATTTTAAATGTGAAAAATTAGATGCAGCTTGAAACTCAAAGTCCCAAGTGGGGCAAATAAATGTAACAGGTGTCTCTCTCTGCCTGGGCCTGGGTCTGGGCTGGAGTATCCATCCCTGTGGGTTGTAGACTGGAATCCTCCCCTTTTTAGGAGGTATGCATGCATAGTATAGGGGGAAAAGTGCATGTTCACCATGGATTCTGTTTGAATGAGAGGTTCTTTGTAATGTCTGTCATGTCCAGGAGAGGTTTCCAAGGCTAGAGGGTTGAGTCTCTGCTCTGCAGTGTCAGATATTGATGGGGAAGAGTGTGACTGATAAAGTACCTGGTCTGCCTGACTAACCTGACTCTGTTAGCCACATGTGTCAGTAACTTTGCCCACTCCTTAGAGCTCTCCCTAGAACAAAAACAGAGGCACATTTTTATGATGATTCAGACTTTGTTGTCTGCTTGTTTGTGATGCCAGAGTGAACACAATCCTGGTCTGGTTTTGCATTTCTCCGGGCTTTTTTTTTTTGTCAGGTTCTCCTTTGCTCTGCTGCTGGGAACAGCATGGGCTCTTATCAGCTGTGTTTTTGGTTCCTCCCTGGCTGCTGTGTTTATCCCTTGCCGTGCAGAGGATGTTCCCAGTAGTCCAGGGGTGTTTACAGCACTCAGCAGCAGCAGAACAAGTAAACCTGGTTCATCCTGGAGCTGCCTCAAGGGCTGTACAGAAAATTGAGGACCTGGTAAACTGTGTCAGTCTCTGTGGGCAATACTCAAGAATATCAGATCAAGCACCTGAAAAGACAGCGTTCTTCCTGTTGCAATCTGCATTGCAGAAGCTAAAACCTGAATTAAGGTAGTAAAACTCTGACAAGAAGAGCTTCACTGATGGGATGGGCTTGGCACTGCAAGCCAGGCCCTTAGCAAACCTGTGTGAGCTACCCAGACAGTGCCACTTGCCAGAGCCTCCTGTCCATCTCAGGGCAGGCCCTGCTGCTTTCTGGCCTGCCTTTCCCAGCAAAGTCTCTGTTCCACAACCACTGGTGGCATCCTCCCACTCCAGAAGGCATTTCCTGATTCAGCAGGGAGGGCTCCAGCACTGCTCTGTGCCAGTGCTGGGAAGGAGGTGTTTGGAATGAGAGATTCAGCTTGGGAAAAGCACGAGGGGAGCAATCCTGGTGGAGAGGAAAAGGTGGCCTGGAGCATCACTCAGTCCCACGCTGGCAGCACAGCTTGGCACCACCGAGTCATGAGGCTCTTGCTGCACGAGCAAAATTTTAGTGCAGCTGAAGTTATGAGGATTATGTTTGTGTGTTTGTGATTATAAAATGTGCCTATATCGCAGTTACCACATGCAGGTGTGTGTGAGTGGGTTAAAATCCACGAGGGCTGTGGTTATTTAGCTGGGGAGTGTCAAAAATATGAGGTTCAGGCCCAAATTTCAGAGGGAAAACCATTTTTGCTGCTAATCTCATAACAGTTAAAAGTAATAATTGCCTCAGAAGCTATATTAAGTGCTATTGCAGGCAAATGTCTCATTTCCTGGGATGTCACTGTTCCAAATCTGGAAGTTCTAACCCAAGAGCAAAAGCTGCTCTTCAAAAAGCACCAGCTTTACTCCCAGCCCTTTCCAAGGTCACCAATGGACCCAGTAATTACAGCGTAGCTCTGCCCTACAATGAACTGCTTTCCTGCCAGCAATTAATTTGCCTCTGTGGGAAGAAGAAATTAAGGCTGGAGACAGTGAAATGTGATCACCACCCAGTTAGAAACCTTTCAGAAATGTCTCAACTCTCAGCTGAAATGAGGATCTTATAATTAGGTTATATTATTATTATTATTATCTATATTATTATGTTGTTTTATTAATTAAGCACAGAGTACTAGATACCCACAGTGTGTGTGAGTTCTCTGGTGACAAGGACATGTGTGAGCAAAGCCTCTGGAAAGCTTTTCCTTGTGCATTACTGGTGCACTTGGGTGTTTCCCAAGATCTGCTCCTCCAGGGCTGGGAGCATGCCCTGCATGTGAGGCTTGTGCTGCTGTCCTTCTTGGCCCTGGCTGTGGAACTGCAGCCAGCACAGGCCCTTTGTCAGCAAACTGGGAGTGGGAAGGACCTGCATGTTCCCTGTAATGTGTTTTATGTCGTGTGGGTGAGCTGGGCAGCCAGGTACCACAGATCCATACAGGGAAGCAGACTGCAAACATCATACAGCAGCAGCAGATGAGTGGACAAGCCTACCCAAATTGAAGATGAGACAGAAACTGGTAGAGTGTTTATCAGGTAAAGCACTTTTCTAGTTAGAGCTGCATTTTCAGCGTTGAGGTGAAACTACACTGGGTCCTGGGGAGGCTGTTTGGTGTCTCTGTGTGCCCTGAGGTCACAGCAGGGCCCGGGTGCAGTCAGACAGGGTGTGAACAGGTCTGTCAGCAGTGGCAGGTGATTAAGTAAGGGCAAGCACAATCCCTAGATTCCTATCTCAGGTGTCAAAGTCCAGAGATCAGTGAAGTGCTGGGGATGCACACAAAGAGAAAAGGAGCAGTACCCCACCCTCCTGTGTGCTCTTCCAGCCCCGTTGAGGGCAGCATCAAAGATCCTCTGGAGAAATGTCTGACAGTTACTAAACCACAGGAGGAAGATTAAGGATTTCTGGGATCTGTTCTGATTTGGCTGATACTGTGCTGTGTGATTTCCTAATTCCTTCCCTTACAAGCTTTTCCTGCTTTGCATAGACTCCAAGGAGCTGAGCACCTGGTTGTTGCACAAACTGAAGGAGCCACATCACAACCTCAGCAAATGTGGCTTTTTATGTTTATTAAAGATATTCCCAGTGCACAGGACAGGACAATTTCACCGTGTTCATGCTCTCCAGAATGTCTGCCTCTTCTTTCAGTACCATCACCATGATGCTGCAAAGGGAAGATGTGCCCCTGCTTGTTTCAGGGATCCGTAATTAGGACACACGATTGTGCCCTGAGCCAGCAGTGCACCCACTGCATTCCCAGGCTGCACTCCAGAGGTGGAGCCACTCCTCACTGGAGTGTTTGCAGTGTATCATGGCTTCTTCCGAGGCTTCCAAAATAAAGAAAATAATTCACTCTGAGAATCTAGAAAATCTGTGTGGAGAAACAATGTGCTTCTATGCATCACATGAGTAGATTTTTATGGAAAAATCCAAAAAGGTGAATTAATCAAACCCAAAATTCTGTAGGAATCTTTACTTGATCTATAAATATCTGTGCAAGGTTCAGCTACAGTATTTTACAGTGGGAGGGAAGGTTTATGGTTTCAGAGACAGAATTCCCACGGAAGAGTCTTTCTAAGGGGAAAGTTTTATTGCTGTAGTTAAATTAGCCTTCAAAAGCAGATTCTAATTATGTATTCTGTTTCTTGGTTTTTGGAGAGATGATGGTGAAACAGGGCTGAGAACACCACTCTGGAATGAGAATTGAAATGAAAGAAAGCTACCAGATCAACTGTTTTTCCCTTTTTTTTTTTTTTTTTTTTTCATGGGTGGAACCACAAAAATTCTGGTTTTCCAAACAGCTGTGAAATGTGACCTCAGAACCTTTCATAAGCAAAAATATCCAAAAAGGCACATACTAACATAACATTGTTGCTGTAATCACAATTACAGGAAAAAATATTTCTAAGAGAAGATGCTGCAGTCCATCCTAGCAGGAAATCCACCTGATGGGTCACTTGCCTTCTTGCTCAGGAAGGTATTACTTGGATCAGGCTGCAGCTGGCGAGATTCCAGCCTTGTGGTTTGGAGAGGACACTGGTGCTGCTGATGGGACGTGGGATGGCAGCGCTGTGTCGCAGGTTGGCATGACATCAATCGCTGGAAAACCCCTGTTGCAGGTGTCTCTCCCTCCTGCTGGCAGTGATGGGTGGGGAAGTGGAGCAGAACATCCCACTGGCTTTTGAAAAAGCAGGTACATCCATGTGATTTATTATTTCAAGACCGGTTTAACTGTGTTAGTGGCAGAATCCGCTCCCTGCGATGCCTAATTCAGTCTAGAGGCTCTTCAAGCCTTCCCTCAATAATCTCGGTGTGGAATCCCTCCGCTTGTTTTCCAGAACGCCCTTTGGCGCCATCCCCAGCGGGCACGACGCATCCGGCTGTGCCAGGAATCCTTGTGGTCGCAGGAATCACCTCCCGTTCCTTTGGAATACGTTGTCCCGACGCCGGTGAGGCAGGAAAGCATCCCCGGGGGAGAGGCGGTGGCTGAGGCGGCTCCTCCCGGCGGCTCCTCCCGGCGGCTCCTCCCGGCGGCTCCTCCCGGCGGCTCCTCCCGGCGGCTCCTCCCGGCGCTGCGGGCGGGGCCCGCGCCGTGCCCGCCCCCGGAGCCCGAGCCCGGCGGAGCTCCGGCGGTGCCTGCTCGGCAGCAGCCATGAAGTCGCTGTGTCTGGTCACCGTGGGAGTCCTGGCCATGACGCTGCTCATCGCCAGCATCTCCCTGCTGGTCGCGCACGTCTTCCAGACGGTGGTGGATCTGCAGGTGAAGCAGGTAAAAGCATTGCCGCCTTGCTTGTTTACCGGTTTATTCTGTCTGAAAATAGCCGAGGGAGGGAGGGAGGGAAGGAAGAGGTTGGCTCCCTCCTTGCAGCAGCGGTGGGTGGGTGGGCAGGAGCATCCCTGGGCCGTGAACCACCCCACCACCCCCGCCTATCACCACCCGGTTGAGCTGGAGCTCAGAATGGAGCTCAGCCTGCGCTGGGTAAAAATCGGGAAGAGGATGGGTAAAAATGCCTCTTCTTGAGGGAGCTTTGCTGGCTGTGGGGCAGCAGCTTTATGGAGGAGCCCTCTCCAGTGCAGCAGCACCTGAAGGGAGCAGGGGCCACCTTAAAGCACCCCGTCTTTTTGCCATCTCTGTCATAAATTGCATGCAGCTTTCATACTTGGTCTGCTGCTCCATTTACTGGTGCCTCTGGAGCAGGGCCAGAGGTGCTGGAATACACGGTGTGTGCCGGTTCCCCTGGCTGGGTGATGGCAGCCAGGCATTTCACCATGTTGTTCCACACTTGGGGACACTCATCCTGCCGTTGCTGTGGATGCAGAGGCCTGCACTGTTCCTGCCCTGCCTAAGCTTTTGTTTCTCTCCCAGAGTGGCTCTGTGCGTTTCTGCAGTGGCCCAGTGAGAAAGGTCAGCTCTGTTAGTAACTCTCTTGTTTGTAAATGAACAATTATTTCTCTCTCTATCTGAGGAATATCATCTTAGTTCTTATCCTGACAGAGGAGCCAGGAACGCTAACCAATGAAGGGATTTGACCAGTGCTGTTGTCTAAGTGGTGACCAGATTATCTGTGATCTCCTAACCTACTGTTCTTTCCTCTGGGCTGTTGACAGGGAGCATTTCCTACCGTGGGACCTGCGCTGTCCCAGATCGGTTTGGTTTAGCGAGCACAGTTTTAGGTTGGCAGTGAGCTTACTCCAGGCTGTGTCACTTGGTAGTGCAGCTCCATCTCCCTGATCTTGGCTGTCCTTGGGAAGGAGTCTGCCCTCCCCTGCGTCCCAGAAGTTCTGCTTCCAGGTATTCTTCTGCTGTTACGGCCAGAGCAGTGGGGTGGAAGCAGTGCTTTGGAGCAGGACTGTCAGGAATTAGGCGTGATCCTCCTTACGCGCATTATCTCCCGGCCTGCTCCTTCCCCGGAGCAACTTATGTAAGAGCAACTTGGTGTTCGCTCAGCAGGCCTTGCAGTAATGCAGGATAAAGTTTCCAGAGCTCAGGCTTTTCCTGCCTGCTGCTCTCCAGCTCGTGCTGGCACACATCTGGATTGCAGGGAATGAGGTGTCCGGCTCCCTGCCAGCTCTGAGGGCCTTCTGCAGGAGCCACAGCCCCCAGGCTGGGGAAGCACAGCTTTCAGCCCAAAGCAGGGTGCTCCCAGCCACTCTGCTGATCTGGCTGATTTCCACATCTGCTTTATCCCATGTGAGCTTCCCCTCATTTGTGTGTAGTCTGGAAAGCTGCTGTCTCTTGTGTAACCGCGTGTGTAGCTTTGAAAATCTTGTGCAAATAGACAAATCTCTGTTTGGATTTGCCTTTGGAATGGGGCAAGGCCTGAGCTTTTGCAAGGAGTCGCTGTTCCTTTGAAGGCTTTCCAGGCGTCCTAGAGCAGAGCTGCCTTGCAGTGAGGGGCAGTCTCAAGTGCAGCTGGAGTGGAAAGCTGTGTTTTGGAACAGCTGAAGCAGCTGTGTCTCCAAAGGCAGCACCTGTGAGTGGCTGAGGATGGCTCTGCTTTCACAGGGGGTTGTGCCTTTCCAGCCAAAGGCAGGGTCTGGGATATAGAGAGGGTGTGGGAAGAGTGGGAATCCAACCTGCTGTCAGACTTCACATCCCCTTGGAAATCAGTGGGCAGATGTGTTGTGACAAGAACACTGGCAGCACTTTTCCCAGAAGGCATTCAAATCTCATAAACTTATTCTTTATTTGCTACTTTTTAAAAAAAAATTCTGTGAACTAAATGTGCCATTCCAAGCAGAATTCCAAAACCTGTTTGTTATCAGGGCCTAGCACCTGATACTCTGGAGATTAATGGGAAAAAAAAATCTAGAATGAACAGGTATGAATCTTCTCCAGGAGAAAGGCATTCCCAGCTGCCAGTGTTGTTGCTTTGTGCCCTCTCATGGGGAGATGCTGGTGTATTTGTTGCCATAGGTGTGCAGGTTGTGAATGCAACCTAGTACTTTATATATATATATATACACATACACACACAATCAATCTTGGAGCTGTGCTCCTCATTTCAAACTTGGAAGTCAGTCAATCCTTTGGCCCAGCTGTTTCCTTCATGCCACATCCCTTAGGCTGAGAATTTTAGAAAACACTCACTCTTCAAACCCCTTGAAATTCCACTGGACCTGTCGCCAGCCATCTCTTGAACTGAATTGGCTGGAATGTTTCAGGCCCAAAAGGATGAGGAAGATGTTTTCTCCTTTGATTTAGCTGATGTAGTGACCAGTTTTTGCTGTTGTTGTTTAATGCAAAATACTGGAGCTCTCAGGAGAGTTTAGTATGCAAGCCTAGCTGAAGGATCCATTGAGATGTTCCTTGGGCATTCCCAAGTTGCAGGAGTAGGGAGGTTTATGCTGGTCTGAACACTCAGCCTGTCACCTTAACAAGTTGCATTTAAACTGTGTCATAGATGAACACATGAAAGTGCATCTTTGAATGCAAACTTTTAGGGGTTCCAGGAAATAAAATGAAAAAGGAATTAAATTTTCTGTGTAGCTTTCAGAAATATTCAGTACCACCACCACTCCCACCATCACTGCCAGTAGCTGTTAAATTTGGGAGGGAAAGTTCCCTATTTATTTCCTGTACGTAAAGCACAGTCAAGGCAAGGAAACGGCAGCAAATGAGAGCGCTGCAGGTTCAGAGCTGGCTGATAATTTCAGTCAGCAGGAAGGATGTTTTGGAACACTGGAAATGAGCGTGGACTCCACTTGGAAAGGAGAAGCCCTGGTGTCCTTGTAATATCCTGTGATAGACTGAAATATCCCTGGTAAGACTGGGTGAAAATCAGAAGAGAAGAGCTTATCATGTTTGATTATTTGGCAGTTTTGGGGAGTCTCTCTGAATCCAGCTCAGAAGTTTGTTAATCTGGGTTTGCTGTCACTGTACAGAGCTATAAATAGACAATTTATGTTGGAGATGCAAATTGTGCCATGCAATCCAAGAAATAAATCTGCAATTAATATGTCCAGTGAATACAGAGATGAGTCTCCTTGGCATCAATCATAAGAAAACAGGATCAAAAGCATCAGGTTGTGTAGGAAATCTTATATATGAGGTGCTGGTAGTTCCAGAGAAGTGCTCCAAGCTCCTCAATGTGAAATGTGAAACACATTTATTTTTGAGGTGTGCACAGAATACATGGGTTTTGCTCCTATGGGGAAAGCAGGCTGCAAGTGCAAAGTGCCACCAGCTGGGCTGGCTCTCGCTGCCATTCAGCATTACTGCTGCCGTGCCAAGCTCCTGCCAATGAGTTTGTCTTTGAAACAGTCTTCTCTTTATCTCATCCTCCAAAATTAAAGTCTACATGGAGAGAAAATGGCTCCTTAAGTGGGAAGGCCAAGAATGAGTCCTGGGGCAAGTGTGGCTGATAAGACCCTGTGAACACTGACCACGAGCTGGCAGCTGTCCAGTATGCCCTGTTTTTGAGCTTCCTCTCACAATATTCCACTTGTTTCCTCAGAAGAATAAGAAGAATGAGTGTTGATGAGAGCCATTTAATTGCAAATCATTCCCCTCCTCCCTTTCTTCCGCCTACAGGTGATGGTGGTTTTCAAAGATAGAGTTTTCTTTGTGTTTATTCCTGAACATTCACACTTTGAGCCAGATTTCTCTGTGTGGCCACTGAAGCAGTTCCAGAGTTGTGGCTACATGAAAAGCCTTAATTTTGATGATGGGGATGCTTTATAGATGGGGTGAATTTTATCCAAAATGGGTTGGTAATAAAGTGAGACCTCTATTGCAGAGCTCTACATGACAGGTGGGGTTGTGACTTTCCATATAACATGTATATACTGATAAGGGGTATCACTGAGGTAAGGGAATTAGTGTTACATTTCCTAAGTGCTTCTGTTATAAAATATTGGTTACCAAATAGACTGACACACCATGGGTCTGGAGATGCTGATGCTGACTTTGCTGTAGGAAAGAAATTAGAGGACAAACAATATTTTCCCTATTCCAAGACCTTGGAAAGGCACAAATTCTAGAGTGCCTATGTGAAAGAAGTTTGTCATTCTCAGTTTTGCTCACAGGCCACTGAAAAACAAAGTCTAATTGCTTGGAAGACAGAATCTCACAGCTGTGTTGGAATCTGACATTCTTGGGCAAAGAAATCACCGAGGCCAGGACTCTTTTGGCCTCCCAGCATTGAGTTGTACTTTTATCTGTAATGTTGCCACGTTCTGTGGTGTCTTGCACCACATGGAGGGTTTTACTGATGCAGGAAAGGAGACAGGATTGCTGAGTAACAGCATGAAAAACGTCAGGCACAATTGTCTGGAGAGACAGGGAACTACAAACCAAGCAGTGCTGTCCCTGGCCTGTGGCCAGGAGAGCAGGTGCCTGGGCTGGCTGATACTGAGTGAGCTGCTCCAAAGTGAAGCAGACCTAGAACTGGAGTCTTACTGCCTGTGCTCGTTCCCAGGGCATGGAATTCCTCTCTCTCCTGTCAGATGCAGCATGATAACATTAGCAGCTCATGTGCCTTTCTCTTGTTTCAGGGAACTGTCTTGAAGAATGGCACGGAAACCTTTGAGGCCTGGGAGGACCCTCCCCCCCCAGTCTACATGCAGTTCTACTTCTTCAATGTGACAAATCCTTTGGAAGTGCTCCAAGGCGCCACTCCTCTCGTAGAGGAAATCGGACCATACACCTACAGGTAGGACCTTTCAGGAGTTCCACACTCCACAAGAACTCTGCTGTGTGAGGAATCCAGGAGGCTTGGGATTCTGCTCTGGGAGAAAACCTGTGTGTTAATGTGTGAGGGAAGGTTTGTCCAGGGGAACATGGTCACAGCCCACACGGACAGCACTGACACTTGCAGCTGCTTTCAGATGAGGCCAGTGACTTCTGTCAGATTTTGGGCTAAGTTTTGCTGGTGTGCTGCTCTTCTTCACTGCTGAACACAGAGGAAGCTGATGCATCCTGGCCTGCTGTCTTGTAAGCTGGGTGATGCTTTGGAGGCTGGGGAGAGAGGAGTGTTGCACAAAAGTGTGACTCATGCTCACTCAGGAATTGCTTCCTAGCTGGAGTTGCACCATTCACATGGGTAAAATGTGGCCAGAAAAACATTTAGGGTGGTACTAAAAGGGTTTTCCTGAACCAACTCTCACTGAAAAACCTGCTTAGAGTTCAAACCTATCTCTCATTTTTACTGATGGATTTACTAAGGCCACGTGCAGTGTTAAATATTGTCCAGCTCCTAGAGCTGTCCTGCGTGGCATGGAGAGATTTGAAAGTCCCCTTAGAGATGAGTTTTCCTTCAGAGCTGTATTGTGCTCAGCTGCCTGCAGCTGTGAAAGCCAGGAGCAGGTCTGTAGCAGGAAGGGCTGTGGTTCTGGGAGTCCTGGTGTTATGGGGAGTTCATCACCACAGCAAGAAGGTGGATTCCTGGCTGTCACCCTCACTTCTGGTCACACAGGCTCCTCCAGGCCAGGCATGGGCTCAGTGCCAGAAGGAACTGTCTTTACCTAAGCTGCAAAATTATCAAAATCTCTTGGTGTTTGAAAAAGTGCTGAGATGAAAGCAGAAGCCTTTGTGGGAACCTTGGTTTCTGCATTATCTCTTGCCTTTCAGTTTCCTCCCTGTCAACAATCCCTTGCCCTGTCTCCTCTGCATTCTAGCCCTGTGTCTGTTTAGTCCTGGCAAACTCTATGTGGTACTTTAGCATAATCCCTGCTATTACATGAGCCAGTAAAGCTGGAGTAAAGATGATCTACAAGCTCTGAAGTTCCCAAGCTTTTTTTCAGGTGTGTGTAGTGTAACACTGGGCATTAGTCAGCAATATGTTCAGTGTCAGGAAGATGAACAGGACCAGCTCCAGCGTTCACAAAGCTGCAGGGCACCACACAGGCTGGCATTCAGTCCTCTTTGCCAGCTTCTTTCCCCTTTCCTTAGCTCTGAGTCTCTCCTGGGTGTCTGGCGCAGCCTGGTTTGGGAAGCTGCACCTTGTCCATGAAGGAGCTCTGCAGGGTGGATGGGGCTGGTGCTGTAGTGGCTGGGCTGGTCCTGCCCCAGGAGAGGCCCAGCCTGAGCTGCTGGTTTGCTGGGAGAGCCCTTCCCTGCATCCCACGCCAAGGGCTGGCTGCAGGCGGGTCCCCGACACCAGCCCTCCCTGAGGTGTTCTTGGTGGGGACAGGGAGGGAAGGAAAGAGGCTGCACATTCCAGCTGCTTCTGGCAGGTTTGCTTAGCCTCATTCTGGCATGTCTGGACAGGATTCCCATGTGCTCTGCTCTTCCTCCATAGAGGAAGAAGGAAAGTTAGGAAGTGGAGAGCTCTCTTGCAACAGATTTCATAACCCTGGCCTGGCTGTGGCTGCAGCAGGGTGTCAGCAGTGGGTGGGGAGGAGAGGAGGCGTGTGGGAGCACAGGGAGGGATGTTCCAGCCACACTGCACGCTCCAGCCAGGGAAGAAAGCTCCAGCTCGTTCCACAGGCCCTGTGTGGCAAAGCACTGAAGCCTCATTTGGCCTTAGCACGTGGCAGAACACCCAAAATGCCCTAATGTGAGGCGCCTGGCTGTGTGTTTTTATAAAGCAGGGTGTCTGGGGAAAGGCTGAGAGTAGGCTGGGAGTGAACTGGGCCAGACAAGCAGGGAAAAAATCCAGTCAGTGACAGGGAGGGCTCCAGAGGTCTCATCCTGCAGCTCAGAGTTTTCACCGTACATCGTCAAGCACTTGAGGCAGATTCCGTATCAAAAACATATCAGTGCTGGTGTTTTTAAATCCTGGAAGTTGAACAGGCAGCACATAAAATAAGCAGCTTGAACTTTGTAATTACTTATCTGCCAAGCCTGCTGAGTTCCAAAGAACACTGGAATATTGTCTGGTCTTGCACACATTTTCAGTATTTTAACTTCAACATCTTAGAGCCTCCTACTCATATACCTCATCAGGGGGTATTATTTTCCTCTCCAGAGCTGGAGAGATGTCTCAGGTTACTCCTGGCCTATTTTAGGAAGGCATTTCACAGCTGTCCATCTCCATCCACTCAGTTCCAGCCCTGGGGTATGAAATAGATTGCTGTCCAAGAGGGTCTTGCCAAGCCAAGCTGGAAGTGTTGCCAGACCAAAATGTTCCTGGGTTTCAGGGGTGCTGGGGAGTGGTAGAGACACCTTTAGGGTAAGGAAGATGGGAAGTGGCTGGTTTGTAATGGCAGTAGTTTCACAGGCTTTTCCAGTTTGCTTTAGATGTGAAAGCAGAGCCAGAGTAATGCAGCCTGTTGTGGAGCTGCACTGATGGATCCAGTGCAGTCTGGCAGAACAATCTCGATCCAAACTGAATGCAGAACATCAGAGCACAACATCTGGCAGAACAATTCTCCCTCACGTCTTGGGACATGACATTTGCCCGGGCAGATGTGAAAGTCAACAGGCTCCTGAGTCACTGCAGGCTGAGGAAACAGGAGGAGTTTCACCTTCTGCGTGTGCTAGGCGGCGAGCAGCCCACTGCCATTTCCCTTTTGGGCTTTGCTGGAGCCACGTGTGTGTCAGCTTGCTCTGCACAGCTGCAGAATCCTGGTTGGTAAAGTGCTAATGGCAATGGAAATAGACTTGTGCTCCTGACGTGTGTGTCAGGGTAATTAGGATCTGACTTTCTCGTGGGGCCAGCAGGTAGCATTTGATGTTCCTTGTCAACTGGACTGGTCTGTCAGCAATCCTGAGTTTTATCCTGCTGTCTTATCCTGTGCTTAGACAGGAACAGCAGCAACCTCCCAGGCCTTGGGTAGTGAACAGCAAAAATTAAGTTGAATTTCTGTCATGCCCAGGATTCCTGCTCGAGAATTAAAGGAGAAGAACTAAAATGAGGCTTGTTCTGTGGTCATGTCACATGTGAGCCCTAGTGCCATGTGCTCTGAAGCCAGCAGAAGGATTGTGGTGGGTTCTTAGGTCAGGTCCATGACACACAAGCAGCCTGCATCTTTCTGGGGGTGCATTTTGCCTGCAGCAGAGGCAAAAGTTTCATTTGCAAACTGGACTTCAAGGGCAATCTCATATATGGTGCCTCTAAATCCTTCTGAGCTATCTGAAATTGTTGTCCTTCCTTTGAGGGTTTTAAAGATGAGGCAAAAATATGAAGTGCAATTAACATGCAGGGTGACATTTTTGGAAACACCCCGTGAGGTCTGACTTGGCTCATGCAGATGCAGCAGGGAGTTTGTGTCAGTGAGTGAATCTACTTCCAAAAAACTGAAAGTGCCATCCTTAAAGCAGTAGAACAGCCATAAGTTAATTGTGATTAATGCTGTGTCTACTTGTTTAACTCAATTAGAGAATGAACTCTTGTCTTTCAGGGAATACAGGCCAAGAGTGCACGTCCAGTTTTTGGACAATGGAACCAAAGTATCTGCTCTAAACCCAAAGACTTATGTATTTGAACCTGAGAAGTCAGTGGGAGACCCTGAAGTGGACCTGATCAGGACAGTAAATATCCCTGCAGTGGTGAGTTCTCTTCCTTTCTTGCTTGGAATTCATCCTGACACACTTCAGAAGGAGCAGTATATTGCTTCATCCTGACTCTCCCTTTGTGGTAGATGAATGTGGAGAGGCAGCTCATGTCCTGAGCAGATGCTGGTCTCAGTTTGGGGCTGGACTGTTTTGGGGGGCTTATTTTGTTCCTCCCTCTCCTCAGGCCTCTGCAGTGCCTGTGCCTTCCTCTGGTGCTACGTGATCACACACTCTCCAGGGACAAGGGGAAATCAGGCTTGCTGGGCTTCCATGAGTCAGTGAAACCAGGGCATCAGTGATGTCAAATGCCTAGGAGGAACTCCAGTTTCTGTGTGAGGGAGTTGGGAACGCTTGGGGTTATTTTGTCATACTTGGAGAAGCTGCTTCCAAGTCTGCTTCTCAAACCAGAAACAAACTACAGTAGAGCAACTCCAGGCAGAGCTGAATGAAAAGAACCTCTCAGAGTATTAAAGTCAAAAATGCACCCCCAGACTGTGCTAGGTGAAAGAGTCTCACGGTGATCACAGGCAGACCATTATTTTGGTCTTACACAAGGATGGCTTGAGAACAAGCAGATCCCAAGCTGTCAGAGTTTCCAGAGGCAGCTAGCCTGTACTCAGATACTTGGGAGTGTCATTCAGCCTTTACTCCCCATCCTGGTTTAGCTTCAGTTGCAGGGTACCTTCATTTCAACTTTTTCCCCAGCATTTCCAAAAATGCCTGACTTTACAAATGAGTCCAGAAATGCCCTGTATATAGTAGCAGATAGGACTCAGCTTACTGAAACTTGCAGACAGTACAGACCCTATGTTTTCAGTTCCTCCCAGGTATCTTGTGGTGGTAAGGATTATCTCTCCTTCAGATTTTTGGCTCTGATGTACTGTAACAGGCAGTACGAGAAGAACCACAGGTTGGTTAGCCCAAAGAAATGCCCTCCTTTTGTTATGACCTTTTGAAGACCTGTTGTAAGCCGGAAAGGAAATAAACATTGGAATTTTGGGGAAATGATTGTGCAATTTGGGAAATTTTCTTGTCAGCTGGAAAGGAAATAAACATTGGAATTTTGGGGAAATGATTGTGCAGTGGTGGAAAGCGTCTGTGCCTGCATGCAGCTTATTGTTTATAGCCCAGCAAATCTGACCTTTGCTCCCTCATTCCAATGCCTGGCAGACTGCCATGGAGTGGACCAGGTCAACCCCTCTGCAGTTTGCCACGGAGGTGCTGCTGCTGCTGTACCAGGAGTCGCTGTTCACCGTGCGCAGCGTCCACCAGCTGCTCTGGGGCTACAAGGACAGGCTGCTGTCCACCATCCATGTCCTGCACCCCGAGATCGACCCCGTCTTCGGGCTTTTCAACAAGGTAGCTGATGGCCACGCCTGCTGCTGCTGTCCCTGGGGGATGATGGCTGGATGGGAGGGATGGATAAGCTTTCCAAGGACAACATCCTCCACTATTGCCTGTACTCGCTTGAATAACATGGGCTTTGTGGGGCCACGTGTGCAAACTGCCAGAAAAATGTCCTGATTTCCTTAGTAGTTGAGTGAAATTGGATGTTAATTCTGTGCTGGAGCCATTCCTGGCATGCTTGTCATTTTGGTCTTTCTTGCTGCTTGGACATGTCTGCAGTGCTGAGGTTATTTTCTTCCTGAGGGCTCTTTATTCAGGGGCAGTTCTCAAAGGGAGAAAAGGCTCATCTGGTCTTGTGTTTCCTGCCTTTGGGAGGGGTAAGGATCTTGCCCAGTCACTTCCACCTCATTCCTGTTCAGGATGAAGTTCAATGATTTGCACAGATTTCAGGGGCAATCCATCACTCCTGGGGTGGGTTTGGAGTGGTGACAGCTTCAGCTTCTGCCACCCCATTGCAGTGACCAGGCAGGTGCCACAGGATGAGTGGAGCCACTGAAAGCTCCTGCATCTGTTTGCAGATGAACGGAACTGATGATGGAGAATATGTTTTCCTGAGTGGAGAGACGAACTACCTGAACTTCTCCAGGATTGTGGAGTGGAAAGGAAAAGAGTAAGTTTCTCAGTGTACTGTTGCCTCTGTCACTATCTGCCCCTTGCTTGCCTGGTGCCAGTTTATAGAGAATGCAAGTGCAACTTAAACCCATTTCAATCCCTTTTCTTGTTAGCAGAGCTGAGGCAGGAGGAATTGGCTCTGTACAGGTCTGATTCCTGTTTGCCTAGGTCAGGAGCTGGCATTACCTGACTGCTGCTCGGACATCTTTTAGCCCTTGCTCTCTTTGCTTCCCTTTCTTCAGGTCCTTGAGCTGGTGGACAACAGAGGCATGTAACATGATCAATGGCACAGATGGGACATCCTTTCACCCGCTGATCAGCAAAGATGAGAACATTTACATTTTTTCTTCCGATTTCTGCAGGTAAGGAGAAGACAGTGGCACTCAGGCTTCAAAGCAGAGCGTTTGCATCCATTCCTCTCGAGATGTCATGTTAGGCTGGTGGTCCTCCTCCTGTGATTTCATTTAACAGTCACAGTGGTCTGCATTTATTCGTGGTGGGAAGGATGAGAGTTACAAAAAACCCTCCCAATCTGCAGTTAAGGATGTGTTATTTGAAAATGAAGATTTGTGAGGTGAAAATTTGGACAAAAACTGCAAGGACGGACTGGACTGCAAGGCTAGGAACAAGGGGAATGGAAGGATTTAGATGAGCTTTCCGTGAGCTTCTTTCCTCCAAAGTCTTCCTCTGTGCTGTGCTTTTTCAGAGAGCTTAGGCTGCCCTCTTCAGAGGTTCATGACTTTACATGATGCTGTCTGAAATGTACCAAGGAAATCTTTGCCTTTCCTTCCTTACGTAACACCGTGTCTACCCTCTTGCTGACTTCCCAGTGCGTGAAGAACAAAACCGACCTGGAATTATTTAAATCAATACAGATGTGTGTTAGGCTAAATTCAGCACGTGCCAGATTACTCTGTCTTCCATGACTGTGTTCCTTTCCTGGTCCCTTCCAGCAGAAGTACCACATGCAGCAGTGGCGTGGGCTGTTTTGTGTAGCAGCAGGATGATGAGATGTACGTTTGCTGATCAGACAGGGGTGGGAATGCAAACTGGGACAGATATGGGCATCAGCAGGGGGACAGTGCTGCTGCAGCCTGACATACCTGGCCCTGCTCTGCTTCCCTGCAGGTCCCTGTTCCTGGTGTATGACAGCTCGGGAGACGTGGCCGGGGTGCCCACGTTCCGCTTTGTGCCCTCCTCCATGGTGTTTGCCAACACCTCGGTGAACCCGGCCAACGCCGGCTTCTGCGTGCCCGCCGGCAACTGCCCCGGCACCGGCGTGCTCAACGTCAGCGTCTGCAAGCAGGGTACGGCCCAGCTGTGTCTGCCCCACAGCCCCTGGGGCTCTGCAGCTCCCCAAGGGCCCCTTCCCCTCTCTGTAAACACCTCAGAGCTGTGGGGTCCTCCAAAGCTTCCCTGAGTCCTGCTCGGTCTTGTGGTGGTGACTCGGCGTTTTCACGTTCCAGGTGCTCCAATATTTCTGTCGGCTCCACATTTTTACCAGGCAGATCCGAAGTTTGTAGAGGACATAGAGGGCATGCATCCCAGAAAAGAGTACCATGAGACATTTCTGGACATCAATCCCGTAAGTGCAGTCTTTTTTCAAGGGTTTTGTAGGTGAATGGATCCAAGCACCTGAGTTTAGGTCACCTCCTTGTGTAGTGGGTGTTGGCGTAGTCCTGTTGACCTCAGGGAATCTGGGGTAGCTCCATGATGCTGGATGGAATGTGAGATCCCTTTGGGCACTTTGGGTCAGCTATCCTGCCCCCTCCCACTGACTGGCAGGGCAGTGTGAGAAACAGAAAAGGCCTGGAGGTGTGCAAGAGCTGCTCAGCAATCACTGGAACATCCCTGCGTTACCCAGGCTGTTTTCATCACGGCTCTAAAATGCAGCCTGATGCCAGCTGCTGTGCAGAAAATGAATGCTCTCCCAGCTAAAATCAGTACAGCAGTGATCTCTACACTCCCACAGACAAATGTGGGTCGAGGCAAAGAGCACAGTCATGACCTGCCTGGTTTACAGAAACAGCACTCTGACTCATTGGGCTGTTATGTGCTGCTAAAGCGGGAGGAAATTCCACAGCTCCTCTCCTAAGGTCTGGTGCAGATCCTGCTGTGTGCTGTGTACCAGGTTCTTCCTGCCTTCTCACAGTTCTCATTCTTTCACCTTCACTGTTTTTTTTTAACACTGATCTCTTTTATTCCCCAGCTGACAGGGCTCGTCTTGCGGGCAGCCAAACGGATGCAGGTCAACGTTCACGTCCGAAAATTACCTGAATTTTTGTGAGTGTTCTCTGCTGCTGGGTGAAGTCTGGTATCTAAGCTGATATTCAGCATGATTTTTTCTGCAGCGTTCTGGTGGAATATGGGATGGAGAGAGCAAGTGTGAGAGAGAAGTCCAACAGAATGTTCTAAGGGGCAGTATGCTCCCCTCTCACAGATGAAGCAGATTCTGTAGTTCCACCTGCAGAGTAAAGAATGTTGTGTGGTAGCTAGTCCTCCTGATGTTTACTGGTACAGCTTGGCTGTAATTACTACAACACAAGTATTTTATCTGCCCAGTCCCCTTGGAAGACTCAGTGGTTGTTTCCCAGTGCCCAGGAGCTGTCACAGGACACAGCTCCTGCCTGAGCTGGGATTCCACATGTGCCAGCTGTTGGGGGATTTTTGCTGCTGTGCCCTTGTCACTTGGACAATAGTTCCTGTGTTTTATAAGTAGGAATAATTTCAACATCAGCTTAGCTCAATTCCTGCTGCCTGGCACAAATCTGTCACTCACGTACTAATGAGCCCTGGATGGATCCCTGTCTTTCACTGCCCACCAAGTCCCAAAATATGCCCTGTTCCCAAACCAGAATTTATCCATCCCTGAGATCAAGATTGTCCTACTCCAGCAGGGAGGTGAAAATCCACAGCAAAAAGGAACAGCCCAGAGGTATTTTTAGGGACACTTTCCTCCTTCATTTTTCTTGTATAATCTGTCTTCACAACCCTCAGGTGGAAAAGTTCCAAACCCATAATTTATTTTTTCTTCCACGCAGTGAAACCGGCAACATCCGAACGCTGATTTTTCCAGTGATGTATATAAATGAGGTAAATAGTTTTGCTGTGTCTTTCCAGCATTGTGGCATGTTAATTCTTGCAGAAATACCCTCTGAGCCAGCCAGAAAAGAAAATGCTGGGGTTTTTTTGTTGTTTGTACAGCAATAGCTGGGAAGATGTTGCTGTTTCTTAACTGACACCCTTCTGCTGTTTATTGTAGTGCTAATTTCAGCCTTGCCAAACACTCTCAGACACTCCTTTTAAACTCAAAGGAGTTGGCCGTGAGGAAAAGGGGTGCTCAGACAGAGGCAGGACTTCAGGAGATCAGAGCTTTTTCTGACTCATCTGCGGTGATTATTCCTGTGCTGTGGTCGGATCACCGAATCAATTTGTGTTAGTTCCATCCCTAAACCAAAAATTAAAAGTCCATATTTTCCTTTGAAATACTGACTAGGTGATCCCTCTGCTCCCCTTGGGAGAATTTTGAGGGGGGAAGTTGTCAAGAAGCAGTGAAGCAGTGCTGGAGAGTTGTGGGAGTGTTGTTTCCCTGCCCTTCACAAAAGTGATCTTATAGGAAGCACAGAAATAAATAAACTTTTTTTTTTTTTTTTAAATTTCCTCTTTATCTCTCTCTGCTCCAGAGTGTTCTGATAGATGAAGCATCTGCCAGCAAACTCAGGCACGTCCTGCTGGAAGCCAGTGTTGTGACTGGGATCCCCTTTGTAATCATGGCTCTGGGGATTGTGTTTGGGATTGTTTTCATTGTGCTGGTGTGCAGGTCCCAGAGGATAACTGAAGAGGTAAGCAGCACTTGGATTTGATTTTGCTTGCTGTCCATCTGCCAGCATTTGATTTTTTTTTTTTTTTTTTTTTTTTTTTTTTTTTGTGGTTGATTTTACCTCTTGCTGTGTCTTTCTGCACGTGTTTTTATATTGTTTTTGTTGGGAATGACCTTTCTAGGGAGGGGAAGTTTTAATAGACTCAGAATAAACGCGCCAAAACAAAGGAGTGGAGTTAATCCGAGAAGCCTGGTAAGGCAGGTCTTGTCTCTGTGCCCAATTCCCTTGCCAACAGTAGTGAAATAAATCAGCCTGTCTAGAGGACCCTGAAGGATAAGATGCAAAAACTCCACCATATCTGAGGACAGATTTAGTTGGTGTTGGTCAGTGTTCTCAGCAGAAAAACTGCATTGTGCCAGTGGGTCATTTTCCAGAATCATAATGGGAATTTGTGGCCAAAGAACAGATGAATTGCACAGACAGCAGCAGCAGGAAGTACTCTCCAGTATTGTCTATTTACAAGACAGCCTGTAAATCTGTTTATGAGCAGTTCTGTCCCAAGATGACACACTGGCATTAAGGTGATTTTCAGGGTGAAAGCTGATGCCAGCATTCCACCATAACAGGGTTCAGGTGGCACCAAGTGTGGAGCCTTTGGTTAGAGGATTAGCCTGGGTTCTCTAGGAGGCTGTTTTGTCCTCGTAGTTGCTGTGGGCTTACTGTCTTTGGTGTTCCCTAAATGCTGTCCTACAACTTCCCTCTGTGCCTGGGGAACCCCTCTGGATCAGTAGGATCCACTGCCATCCCATCCCTGTGGGGCTGCACTTCAGTTTACTGTGCAGGAGAGATTGGTTCCTTTTCCTTTTTTTCCTTTTCCTTTTCCCTTTCCCTTTCCTCCTGAGCCTGCCCGTGCTGTCAGCAGTTCAGCCAGGGTGTCAATCTGTCCCACTGCCCAAGGCCTGTCCTGGGAATTCCTGCCCTACCCTACATGCACAGCTTCAAATCAGCTCTCTTGGATGTGCACACTCTGCAGGGGTCAAAGTGACAATGGGACACCTGCATTCCGTGCTTTTCCAGCTTTGCTTTTTGTTGCTCTTCCTGCAAACAGAGGTAATCCAGCAGTCTGCAGCTCTTCTTGTGATCTCTAGCTGCTTCTGGCCTTCCCTCCTGTGTCAGGGGCTGCCCAGGTCCCTGCCCAAGCTGCCACCAACCCTCTGGTGCTTCCTTAGTGCAGCCCTGGCTCTCTTGGAGGGAATTGTCCTTAGAAGTAGGAGCTTTTCCTTTCCCTGCTTGGAGTCTGGGCAACCCAGCTTTCATGGTGGAAGGTCTCTCATGGCCACGTTTCACTTGCTGTGGTTTTGTTCTTGCAGAGCACAGAAGAAGAGAGGTCCCCACTCATCAGGACATCTTAGTAGATTTTATTCCCCCTGTGAGCTTGGAGAATAAATGATTAGAGCTGACTTAACACCCTGTGGAGCCACGCTCGTGTCCAGCGTCACCTTTGGTGGGACAGAGGTGGAAGGGAATCTGCGCTGTCAGCTGAGCAGAAGACTTTTCTCTCAGCTATAATTTTCAAACTCCATTTGCAAATTGCTCCGGATCCCGCTTTTCTCAGCCCTGCCCTCTGTTCCTACCCGCACTGGCAGCCACAGAGGATCAGAACCACCTGATTCCCTACGGGAGCGACGTGGGCGGCCTTGCCAACCCTGGGAGCGTGGACGGCCCTCTGGGAACGCAGCGGGCTCCTGGATGGCCCTGGGACAGCGACACGGGTGCTGCCCTGTGATGTGTCCTCACTGCAGCGTGCTCTGAGCATTTGTCACTGGTGTCCTTGTTCCTGTCACAGCACACGTGTGTGGCTGACCCGCCCCGGAGCTGCAACTCCGCATGGGACCGAGCCAGCCGGTGCTTCTCCATGCCGAGCACCGCGGTGTTCCCACTCTGCTCGCTAGCCAGGCTTTTATCCTTCGGGTGTGGGTTTGTTCTGCAGCTTAAGGCACCACTGCTCAGCGGTGTTCCTGGCCTGGAGGGGACACAGCCGGCGGGTGGTGTTGTGGGGGTTTGCTGGGAATGCAGACTTGGTATGTTTGGGATGAGAGCACCCCTCGGTGGTATGGACAGGGTTCTGAGAACTCCTGACACTTTTTTTACTTGTCAAGCAGAAGCTTGTGTTAAAAGTCACCAAGGTTCCTCCCCCCCACTTCCCAATTAAAAGGATATTCTCATCGAGGAATGTTTCCATTGGGTAGTGAAATGTGTTTTTAAAGTGTGTAACTGGCTGCTAAAGAGGGGCACTGGGGTTTGCATTGCTTGGGCTTGGTTTGGAGTATTTTTCCTGGTTGCTGCTTTGGTTTCTTCCCTGTGAGGGTGGGGAGGCCCATGAATGGATTCTGCAGAGCAGCTGTGGCTGCCCCTGGATCCCTGCAAGTGTCCAAGGCCTGGTTGGAAGGGGCTTGGAGCGGCCTGGGATCGTGGAAGGTGGCCCTGCCAAGTGTGAAAACCAGAATTCACTGCTTAGAATTTTTCAAAGTTTAATAGTAATAAGATAAAACAAGGACTGTGTTTCCAGCACTGGGGTGCTCCTGGCCAAAGAATACCCTGCTGTTGTACAGACAGTGTTTCTGATGTTGTGGGAGCTCCTTTGTCTGACTGCTTCACACTCCAGCTTATCTCCATGACATCCCGGGTGTCAGGTCAATATATTTTATTTCTTCTCGACTCTCCATCCTGCTGTTTCACATCCCTTGATAAGTGTTTAGTGTGTCCTCCTTAAATTTAACATAGTATTCTCTAATTATCCTCTGGTGCTCTGGTTTGTGTCACGATTATCACTTGGACATGCTGGTCAGTGGATGGCCTTACACTGCTTTTAGTTACACAAAAGCCTCTTATTTTTTTACATCTTATGTTTTGCTAAGGTGTATAACACAGTACATTCATCACACTATTATTTCCATAAGTGATACAGATATATTGATTACACCACTATTTCTATAAGCATCACAGGGCATGCTTAAGGTGATAGATTGTATTATTTTAACAATACTATTCTAAATACTTATAATCACAAAGACATGCATGAGCTACTACATAGATGCGAAAGCCAGTATTATCTGGTCATTTCTCACCCATGGCAGGCAGAGGAGCAAGATGGGCTTTAAGGTGCCTTTGAAATCAAGCCCTCCTGGGATTCTGTGACAGCGTTGTCACCCCAAAAATCTTGTTTTCTGGGAATAACCCTGGGAAAACGCTCTGGAATCTGCCTATGCTCTGCCTTTCACAGCATCGTGGGATGCTTTGGGTGCAGCTGCCACAGGAATGTGCCCGGAGAGGGAGACTCCATGACCTCCATGGCCAGCTGTTCCCTCATGGACGTGGGGTGCCTGTGGGAGCCGTCACTACCAAGTTCTGCCCGCCAGCTCCTACAGCGGGCACACCCAAAGGGACGGCGGCACTGCGGTCCCAGTGTTGTGGGAAATCCAGGGAATGCCCCCGATCCTCAGGGAAGAGCTGCTTGCCCTTCTTCCCCTTCATTTCCCTCCGCCCCGTGGGACATGGAGCCTCTCCCTGCGCTCCCGTCCCGCCGCCCGCAGTGGTACAGCCCGCTGGCGCGCGCCGATTGCGTCACCGCGCGTCGCCTGCGCCACCCGGAAGCGCTTTGGCGGCGGCGGCGGCGGAAAAGCGGCGCGTGCGGCCGGTTTTGTTCGTGGCTGGACCCGCCGCGGGGGCTCGTACGCGCCTCTCGCGGGGGCCTCCGCTCGCCGTCCCACGATCGGCCCCATGGCCTTCAACTTCAGCGCCACGGCGGGAGCCGGGGCCGCCAACCCGACCGGTGAGCGGGGGGAGGGAGCGGGGCGCGGAGGGGCGGGGGGGGGGGGGAGCCGAGCAGCGGGCAGCGCGTGCCCCCCCCCCCCCGCCAATGAGAACAGCGGGCGCCTCAGAGGGCCGCGCGTGCCCCCCGGCCAATGGGGATCGCAGCCCCCTCAGGGACCCGCGCGTGCCCTGCGGCCAATGGGAGCGGCGGTGGCCGGCAGCGCGTGCCCCCCGGCCAATGAGAGCCGCGGCCGCCTCAGAGGCACCGTCCCGCGCCTCGCGCGGACCCCGGCGGGTCCGGGAGTCGCTCTTGAGGCGCTTGTGATGAGGTGGCTCGGATCGGCGTTTTGATTGCAATAAATTCGTCGTTTGGACGAGATACCCTTGGAAGTTCATTTTTTAGCAAGGTAAAAGACAGGGGTTGACTTGTAAAGTTAGACTTTTCCCCTTCTGCTTTTGTCACTGTCAGTCGTGGTGAAGTGTAGGACAGAGCTTTTCTTGCCCTCACTTAGTAAAATAATTAATTGTTGGCTCCAAACAAGTCTTTGGGACAGGATTCATCTTTGCTCTAGTCAGCCTGAATTTTACTGTCTCTTTTACACACACTCTTTCTGGCCCCATCTGAAAGTAAAACATCACCTTGTGCTGCCTGTACACTGTGGCAAGGTTTATGACACTCACAGACCAATATCAGAGGGAAATCTGGGATCACACCTCAGGACTTCCCGTTGTCCGTCCAGCATGAACCTGCTTCAGCTGCTTCCAGGGGGTGCTGGGCGCATCAGTAAATCCAGCAAGGCTGGAGCTGAGTTTCATGGTTATTCTGCTGTCATGTATCTGAGTGTATTATCTGTGTGAAGATGGTTTACTCTTGCCTTCCTGATAGTTTATTAATTAATTTTGCTACTATCTGTTACACTTAAGATGAATGCAGCTGCACTGAGCAGTCTCAGTCTGTTGAAAATTACTGTTAATGTGAATCTTGAATCACAGAGATATGGCTTTGAAATAAGGTGGGGAAATGCTACTGCTTTATGCACAGTATAATTGAAAAAGAATGTCTTTACAGCAGCACTGTGTGAAGCTTTTAACTGTCCTCCTTGTGTCCAACAACTAATGTTTAATGCCAGTTAATACCTTTTACTCTTGTCTGTAACTATGCCTGTCTTGCCCATGGGGATGGAAAAATGCTTCAGCTTTTCTTTCCTGGGGCCTGCCTTTCACTCAGAACTAATGTTGCCTTGCTCTTTTTCTGCTTCCCGCTTGTCAGGATTTGGTGGGCTTGAAACTGCAAACTCCACTGCCAGTGGGTTTAATTTTGGGGGTTTCGGATTAACTGCTAATCCCGCGGTGAATTTTAATATTGGGAATTTCGGTGTTTCCACTACCTCAACTCCACCTTTCAATTTTGGTAACAGTCTGGCGAGCGCAGGTAGATAATGCCTAAATACGTGTTGTGTGGTAAATGTTACCGGCAGGGGTCCAAGAATTACATCCCTCACTGGGGATACGTGTCCACTCCTAATCCTCATATCCAGTGAAGACTGGCCATTAAAGCTCTGGAAATGGAATGGGTTGGAGAGCCACAGACTTGGAGGGGTTTTGCCTGTTAAATTCTCAAGGAATAGCTTTTGAGGAAAAATAACCCCATAGCCAAAAGTCTCTGAAACGGGAATGAATCCAGGTCATCCCGAGCAATCCCAGCTTTCCCCTGTTTCCTGACATGAGATTCTTGGACTACTGCGGTCATGTTTTCATCTTCCCCCGTGTCTCCTCATCAGCCTTGCGTTGGCTGTCATGAACGCACCACACCTCAATGGTTTCTGTGCAGAAACGAATTGTATACGACCGGCATGAAGTCAGAGCCCAGCTGTGACCTGTTCCCCAAAGCTGCCCTGCATCCCAAACCAGCCCTGCCCCAGCTCTCCGGGGACGCTCGTGCTCCAGGGAGACCTGCATGGCATAGGTGCACAGTGGTGGGGTGGCTAAGGAAGCCCTTTGTGGCCCCATGGAGATCCAGCAGATCTGAGCCATCAGCTGATGTCATTTCACTTCAAATATTTCCCATTCCCTATAAAAACACCGGACCAGATGGATTTCTAATGCTCTTGTTGGTGTGGAATTAGCCGGGGGGGTCCCGTTGCTGCTGCTCGTATAGGAATTCCATCCATCCCACAGTGTCATCGCTCTCTGTGTCAGCGCCTCTCATCTGTTCTGTGCACTCCAGCGGTCTCATTGGGTTTATTTGCTGTGAACACTCTTGGGCTGGATTTCTTTGGCTTCATTGAGCTGCTCCAGAAGACACCGTGGGTAGCCATTTGATATTTAATTTGATACTTTGGTATTCAATTTGTACTCTCAGGTCCCTTTTCAAGAAAGGATGACTAAATTTACAGTGGGTACAAAGGTACCTAAAAATGGTGTTATCTGCTGGTGCTCCTGCCAGGGTGTCCCGCTCGCTGGCAGGACTGAAACATGGGTGTTACAGGGAACAATTTCTTGTGCCCACTCACATCAAGATTTTTGCTGAGTGGACATAAAATGCACTTGCATATCAGTTTTGATTTATGCTTTTCATTTTTTTTGTGGACAGGAGGACCGTGAGTGTAGTAGATCTAAAGAACCTTTTTTTTTTTTTCTATTGACATGTGAGTTAGGAGAGACAGCATCTTTGTGACAAATCCTTTGTAGCACACTGTCTTTTGTTGTTTGAGCACTTGTAAAAGCAGCGTGAAACACAGAGACTTTGGTTTCCCAGGCAGGTCAGTGCTCCGCAGGCTGCACCTTGGGCCAGTGCCATTGGCACCGCTGGAGCTCAGGTGCTCACTTAGGTCCTCTCCTGCTGGCTAGTGACTGCTTTTGCTGAAAACCTGTGGAAGGCAGGCTTAAAAAAAAAGACCCTGTAGAATTTTACCTGTAAATTTTGCCTATAAGCACAGGGACTGTGTGTATCTGGCCTCAGGCTTTGGTTTTTTTCCTGAGGTTAGGACTGTTTGTAAAGTTCACAAAATATCAAGTTGTTTATTACACACTTAGCAGTGACATTGACCAGAAGTATTTCTGAGAAGGAATGTAAGAAATAGTACTGTTAGTTGTGTGTGAACACAAGAAAGCAGATCCCTCTGGTAAAGGAACAAGATGTCAGTGGACTGCTGCCTTTTTGTTTGCTTTCATGACACACCATACAAGTTCTGGCTTTGTGGTCTGTGTTTTGTCCCCCATTTTCTTGGACAATGAACTCAATCCCCCTGCTCACTGTGAACTACATGCTTGTGCCATGTGCCATCCGTCTGTCAGCACCTGTTCCCGTAACACCCGAGGCGTGCGGTCGCTTGTCGTGCTGTGCCCAGCTCCGGGGCCGTGTGCCGCTGCCTGACCACAGTCTGTTTGGCAGGTGCCTTCGGAGGCTTTGGGAC